ATACTAGATATTAAATAGCTTTTTAATCATTTTTTAATAGAAGAATATAAATTTTTTTTCTTTTATTAATAATAGATTTTTTTTATAGAATTTAATATAGATTTAATAGAGATTTAATAAAATTTTAGATTAATAGAGAATTATTAGAGTTTTTTTAGATTAGTGGGTTTATTAGAGTTTTATTAATAGAAATTGATTAGAGTTAATATAGATTTTAGGTTAGTCCTCTTTCTTAGATTTAATTAGGATTTATTAGATTAATTAGGTTTTAAGTAGATTAATTTTTAGTCTTTAATCCATGGTAATTAGCCCATTTCAATTCAGTTTTTTGTGGTTTTGTTAATCCATTTCGTGGGCCCAGATTTTCGTTTTTGGAGGCCCAGTTTATGGCCGTTTTTGTCCATTTTTCAGAGTCCAAGAATCAATTGCATGTGTTATATAAGTCATCCACGTGTTATCTCAGAGAGGACCCACCACTTCATTTCAGAATCACCCACATCACGCCACATCACAACTTCTCTTCCCCCTCTCTCTGCCACGCCACCCCCACGTGGCGTCCATGCACCAGTTCTCTCCACTACCATTGCCACTTGGCAGCCTCAAACCCCACCGGAGACTCACCGGTTGCATGGCCGCCGGCCATGCAACCACCCTAACAGCTCCCCGCCGGCAGCCCTAACAACCCTCCGGCCACCGTCAATTCCGCCGGAGACACAAAAAACTCCATAATTCATCTTTCTCCTCTCATCATCACCTTCAACCGATCACCATCTCCGATCATCATCATCTCCTCCGATCAACACTCAACCACTGTTCATCAACTTCATCCAATCTCCATGAAATCTTCAGCAACCTTCAACCTACTTGCAATGTTCGTCCGATCATCCAGATCTCCTCAGAAATTCCGTTGTGTTCTTCGTTTGAAGATTATAGCTGTTCATTACGAGTTTCTTTCCAGAATCATCGTCATCTCTATCAACGCTCATCCAACCATCAAGAACCGCATGCATCAGTACGCCTCCAGAAAATTGCCAGATCCTCCTTCAATCGCTCATCAACAGCGAGACCTCCATTCAAAGAATTTCCAGAAAAACCTCCACAACGCCATCTTCGCATCTACAGCTACGATTTATCCAGGAAATTCATCAAGATTTTTCACCTTCACGAAGATTCTCCAGGAATCACTAAACACGTATCAGCTCCAAAGATCCTCGTTGAAGGACTCTCTATCTTCAAGAGCCGTCCGCGAACGTCCACCAATAAACGTTTCCAGGTTACAGAACATCGAAGATCTTCGTAAGAACGCCTTCGTCAACACCTGGATCTATGAAGAGTACGCATCCTCAGATCTCTAGGTTTTGTTGATTTTCTTTGTTGACGTTTCTATCCGCGAGCAACATACATGCTTTCCCGTCTTCAGCATGATTTTTCATCAAGAATTTCATCGTTCGAATGTCCATAAACTCGGAGCCAAGTTTGTAGATGTCGGTGTTTGTTTGAGTGGATGAATCAAGAAAGGTTGGGATGAAGTTAAGTCTGAGAGAGGTTCAGAGAGAGATCAAGGAAGAACAAGGTGTTTGTTTGAGAAGAGGGAGTTCGGAGGTAGGTGACGGCGCCGTGAGAGAGGGAGGAAAATCCATTAGGGTTTCAGAATGAGAGAGTGAAAGGAGAGAATGAGGAGATGGGTCGGGTTTGTGTTTGGGGCCACGAGGCCCAACGTTTTTTCTTGCACCTTCCCCTCCATTTTTTTACTGAAGGATATTGGGCTGAGCCCAATGCAATGGCCAGCATGCACCCTCCGTTACTCTTTGTTACCCCCTCCCTCTTGTGTGTATGTTTTGAGGAAGTGGGTCGGGCTTGGCATCATTATTGGTTACAGCCTCTGTTTTCAATTTCAGCACCTCCCTCTCTGTGCATATTTTTTTGATGGGCTGGGCTGAGATTTTCTTGCTAATTGTAATCCCTGTATCCATCTGCACCCCCCTCCCCTTTGTATTTTTCTTTTTTCTTTTAGATTCATTTGTTTAGGGAATATATAAAAAAGAAATACAATGAAAAAGAATATTTTGAAAAAGAGATATGAAAAGAAAATATGGGAAAAAAGAAAAGAAAATATTGGAAAAAGAAATATTTAAAAAAGATAGTGAAAAAAATATAGAAAAAATATTGAAAAAATATGGAAAAATATATGGAAAATATTTTGAAAAAAAAGAAAATAGAGAAGAAAGATACTTGGAAAAAATGGTAAAAAATATTACATTGTAGATTTAATATTTTTCTTTTAGGATATAATTTTCATAGAGTTTATTTTACACTTTTAGGGATAGTTTAGAAGTCCACTTGTTAGGGGACTATTTTCCATTCGATTTTTTCAGGATAGGATAGGATAGTATTTCCTAGGAGTTTATTTTCAGTATTCAATCATTGTAGCCATCTTTTCAGAATGTTAATAGAACGAGATTTGAGCTGTGGTCCCGAAGTAGCCGAACTACAGCTGCTCTGATTTCTCGTACCAGACGAGAATATGTAGGCATAGGATGCGATATCCTAGCGAGCACACTAACAACTAACCTTTTGTTCTCTCGCTGCTGTGCGATCGAGACTTTCCCGCTGACGACTGATGTTACCCTTTTTTCTCTTGCCCGAGTGCATTTGAGACTAGACCATAGTTTTTCCCATAGGTTCCCGTACCTTTGAAACCAGTTAATTTCTCACTGCTGTGTGAGAACACCCAGATTATCCGTAGTTAGCCTGAACTACGTAAGCTTTGATCTTCCATGATGTGTGGAAGTACGTAGGCACAAGACGCGAGGTCTTGGCGAGCCAATTTCCTTGTAGTCCCGAACTACGTTGACTCTGACTTTCTCTCTTGAGAATACGTAGGCATAGAGTGTGACGCTCTATCGAGTCAAATCCCTTCCGTTTAGATTTAGCAGCCGTAGATAGATTGTTTTTTCATCCTTTAGACAACCCAAGCAAGCGTGGATCCCGTCGAGTACGACGGACGTGAGGGGTGCTAATACCTTCCCCTTGCGTAACCAACTCCCGAACCCAGGTTTTGGTTGCGATGACCATACCTTTTCCCGTTTTTTGCGAGGTTTACTTCGAGCGTTTCCTTTCCCTCCGTTGGGATAAATAACGCACGGTGGCGACTCTTCTGTCAGCCGGCGCCGATTTTCGCAGTAGCGACACAAGGTCAAAATGTTAATTGCGGATAGCAGAAAATAGCATATTGTTAAATTTTCACTATGCAATAATGCTAGTGTCACTATAGCGGTTATTTGTCAACATAATATACTAAATAGAGTATCACAGAACAGTCGTGGCCCAAATTCCGCAGCGGCTATTTAACAACATCGCCGTAAAGCATGGATTCAATTTAACTGTACAAGATAGCAACACAACAAATTTGTTTCATGGCAAACCTTCTTCATTAGCTTGCTAAATCATGCACTCACGCCACCGCATCGTACCGTGCCGGAAAGCTCACAACTGCAATCTTAAATCCAAGACACTCACAAGCAAATCAAGCAAATGACAGTAAGTGAATAGATCTTAACTTATTATGAACCACGAGACAAACATCACCAAATTGTAACCGAAACATCTTAAACATAATGCACACACAATTGAAAGGCCAACGTAAAGTAAGAACAAACTAGAGCACCATACAAAATGTTGCAAAAAGTAATTTTGAAATGTTACTACCGGTAGAACAGCCGCTGAAAATCATTGGCTATGCGACATGGGTTAAACAAAACAGCCACGTAGCAACCAAACTCACAATGGCATCACATTATTAAAATATAAGCAGTAGGAAAAACACAGTTTTAAGATGAAATCAACTCGAAATGAACAGAAAATGTATACGGAATGAAATAATATGAAAACAAATACGAAGCACGTCGTTACCGTAAAACGTCTAAGTAATGTTGGTATGATATTGTGATGTGCTGACACGCTGAAATTGTTGCAAGGTTGTCGTTGTATTTAAGCGACAAAATGCAGCGGTTTTGTCATGGCTGTGCGATTACAGTCAATATGTTGCATATTGTTCAGGTGGTCATGGCGGTGTTTATGTAAGAAGTTAATAACAACCAAGTACTAAGTTCATATAGCTACACGAATTGGACTGCTGCAACATTGCTTTACGAATTGGAGCATTGCGACTTGTTTTCCAGCCATAAAGCCTATCAACCTGCAATGTTGCAAGAATAGTGTGGCAGTACTGAGAAACCTGTCAAGAACATTTATATTAGAAGCAGTAGATCATACTGTCAGAGTTTCAGGTTTGACACCAATTGCTGCAGCTAGTAGCTACCATCTCAAAATAATACTACTAATACTTAAAGTATAAGCACTTATTTGATAAACCTTGTCAACACATAATGAAACACCAAAATCATAAGCAATTCAGATTATGATTATATATTTACCTCACATGAAGCAGGCAAATTATTCTAAATGAAATGAATCTCATCTTCAGATATCTTGTAATCAGAAATGAACCTCACACATTCTTCCAAACCAGCGAATGAACAACCCCAATGCGGGCACAATTTACTGTGCTTCTGCATACTGTACTTCTGCATAATAATCACAATTTACTTAGAAACTCTTTACAATGAGGGAATATATGATTGAACAATAGCGTAAAATTGACAACCCATCTTTTGCATTCGGAAGAAAAAAGTACATGGAGAATTGACGCTTATCTTCGCCTTGCTTATAAGGAAGACCAATAACTTTAAAATCATTGAATTCTCTAATAAACTGCTTCTTCTTGCTGGTCATGAAGGGAACCTTGACTGTGCTACCATTCAAAAGGTGAAAATCGTTATCTTTCGTTAACGAAGCATCAAACTTGTCATTCCATGCTCCTTTAAAGTACAGTGCATTAGCAAAGATGAGCCTGGTTGAGCTGTTGACTGATCCTATAGGAAGAAGTTCTTTAATAAGTCCATTAGTCTCTTTTTCAGCCCATAAATTCACTTCATTGGTCACTTCAACAACCTTCAAAACCATATCAAATTTAAAAATCAATGGTATAAATAAATAAGTTGAATTGCAATTGCTTTCACAAGTATATCAGGGAAAATTGTATAAATAGATAAGTTAAATTCATTTTAGCTTAAATATCCATATGCTAAAGGACGGGGAAAGTTGTTCTCCATAGTACTAGAACTAGAACATGCTTGACATATAACAGGTCTATAGGCTAAAGCTAAATGCATTTGAACAATGATAAAGCAATTCAGGTGTAAAATTGATTTTGCAATGTTAGTTTTTTCAAAAGCAAAATTGCTTCCGGTTGAAGCTAGAATTTGTAGTTTCTTTTAATCAAAATCAATTCTCCAAAATCCATTCCCAATCAAATATTGTCACCTAAAAACCAAACACACAATCAATTTAAAATTGGTAATGACCAAAAGATGTGAACTATGAAACCCTAACACAAAATCGTTCGAGAAGTTATATTAATACATTAACAGAAAATAGAAACAGGGCATAGATTAATTCCAGCAATAAGAGGGAGATAATAGATATAAATACCTTGTTCTGGAAATCGACGGAAGACAAACTGGCTTTGAATTCAGTAGAGACGATTTGTTTGAAGGAAGGTTGAAGAGATAGGGTTTGTTCAATCCACACACCGTCGACGAAAGAGAGAAGAGGTCCGCCGGCGGGAGCAGTGTTGGAGAGGACAACAGAAACGAGCTGAGAGGCAAAGGAGTTGAGATGATCGATGGATTTGGATTGGAGGAATTCAAGAAGCTGTTGTTGTGTGGGACCCTCAGAGCCAGCAGCGATGATGCTAAGAACGAGTTGTAGCGAAAGTGGAGATAACACGATGTTCTTATCTTGATGAGATACTTTTGAGAACAAATGGTTAGCGATGGTGAAGGAAACATTGGTTTGGCGGGTTATTGATTCACCTCCGACCGTTAATCCATCCCTCACTTCAAACTGGCTTCAAACCTATTTCATCCGTAAATCCAACTTCAAAACACCCCCAAAACCAGAACCGAAAGTGGAAGAGAGATTCAAAGTGAAACAACCGAACACCCAATCATAAACCCTAACCCCTCTTTCAGTAATCCAAATCTCCATTCCTTCCGCCATAAACCTCAAACTTCAATCGATTTCCATCATCAAAACCAAACCGTTCAGAATAATCATCATCAACAAACTTAAACCAGATTCAGAAATAGAATAAGAGGAGATTGAGAGAGTTTGAAAGAGAGAGCCAGTGAAACGAGATTGAGAGAGTGGAATCCGAGTAATGATACGAAGAAGAAGGAATTTTGTGCCAAAACGAAAAACATTTGGGCCAGGAAAGGTTTTCATATTTTAATTAATTTAATTTAGTGGAATATTTTAATGGCGCTTTTTAAAAAAACGCTATCTTAAAACACAATTATAGAAACGATAGCGGTTCCATAAAAAGCGCTATTGTAGTTACATATTTTAATAGCGATTTTTAAAAAGCGCTATCGTAGTGCTTTTAATAATAGCGCTTTTATAAAAGTGCTATTGTAATACAACATTTTAATAGCGCTTTTTAGAAAAGCGCTATCTTAGTGAATACCTATAATAGCGCTTTTTTACAAAGTGCTATCAAAATCATATTCTCTGTACTCTTTAATAGCGCTTTACTATAAAGCGCTATTATAAATATGTTTGTTTCTTTTTTAATAGCGCTTATTTAAAAAGCGCTATTAAGGTAGGCGATACAAAAAACCAATTTTGGCGTAGTGATTGAACAACATATACTATGAAAGTTCTGTTGAAAAATAATGAAGAGAGATTTTGTGAAAATTTTGAAAGAGATGAATTTGAATGATGAAAAATTCTGATTTTATAGTATTTATGATAACTCTAGAAATCATGACAACCTTTATAAAATATTCATGATCAATTGAACTTGATTTGGAAAATGTGTGATGAAAATGGGCAGTGAAGAGGTGTAAAAACCGATTTAGAATTTTTCACAAAGTTGCAAGGGACATACGTTTACCTTTAGAGAGAAACATATTTCTTTGTTTCGAACGAATAGAAAATTTGAAAAATGAACTAGGTAAACATGTTTACCAGAGAGGGAAACAAATTTCCCTTTTGCATTTCTTTAAAAACGATTTGGCAGAGAGGAAGGAAACATATTTCCTCTAAAAGGGAAACCTATTTCGCTAGTCAAAAATACAAAATTTGACTAAGTTAAAATCCAAATTAAAAGTGAATCATGTAACACATTTTTCCAAACTTTAGAAGGTATGAGATTAAAATTGTGAGCACCTAATGATTATAAATAATGAAAAATCTTTTTCAATGCATGAATAAAAGAATTTGAGCACTAAAAGAATGTATATGATATGGAAGTTTCATATACCTTAAATGATGAATAGAAACTTGATTGATCTATTCTTCAAGCTTTGAGTTCTTTTTGTTGATATGTTTGTCTTCATCAAAACTATTCATCAAGCTTTGCTAAATGACGAATACCTTAATTTTACCATTAATATGTGTAAAGTTATTCTCACCCCTCTTTTCTGTTGTCTTATGACTTGTTAGGTCTGTGTTGCAGATACAAGTAGCGAGTAGTAGCGAATGTGTTAAGGAATGGCACATGTTGCATTCTTCTTTATTTATTTTCCAAATTTTGTTTAGTTCTGCGATGTCGCTCTGATATGCAACAATTGGACAAGATTTGTGTTGTTTCTATTTTACTTTTCTGAAATGTTTTGTGGGACTATTCCCCTTATGCTTGAGTTTAGAATATTTTATTTTGAAATATTCAATTAATTTTATTTTAAGAATTATCAGTTGCTTATTTTTGGACTTTTTTTATAAAGAATATTTGTGTGAAAAATATATGTGACACCCTTTTGGTGAAAAATACTCTGATTTATTTTAGAAATTGCATACCGGATTTAGGCTGTTACATAGTGGTATCAGAGCAGGTTAGTTCATCCATCCATGTTTTTATAATGTTGTTTATTCCTCTGCATATGAAGAATGTGTGAACGATGTCGATACAATGTTTCTTCTAATAATTGTTTGCTATTGTAACAGAGAAATGGATGGAAGAAATGATCGCGTAATCGTTAATTCCTTGGCAGCTATGGCTCAGGTTTTGCAACCTCAGCATAATCTATGGGTTGAAGATGCTTAATCCCGTGGGCTAGATAGGTTTCAAAGTAATAAGCCACCAACCTTCAAAGGAAGGTATGACCTTAAGGGTGTACAATTTTGGTTACAAGGGGTTGAGAAAATCTTCAGAGTGATGGCTTGTCTAAAAGCTCAACAGATTCTTTATGGTACTCGCATGCTGTCAGAGGAAGCTGAGTACTATTGGGATAATGCTAGACAAATATTTGAGGTTAATGGTACTGCGATAACTTAGACTATTTTCAGGGGCACATTCTAGGAAAAATATTTCCCAGCTGATGTGCGTAGCAAAAAAGAGATCAAATTCCTTGAACATAAGCAAGGGAATAGACTGTTGCAGATTATGCAGCCAAGTTTGAAGAATAGTCTAGGTTCTTCCCTCACTATAATGGGGTAGAACCCGAAGTGTTAAATGCATTATGTTTGAGAATTGACTTCAAAAAATCTTTTTCTACTAAAGTGTGAGAGATTTTCTATCAACCACAATTCCAACACAATTGACTTTGATATCAATGTCATCTTCCAAAATGTCCCACAACTCATCATCAAGACTTATAATGTGTGTATATTTTTATTTTTCACAATTCAAACTTAGTGGAATCTCCACTGAAAGTAGGAGGCATAGTTGTATAATTATTTTTCTCAGAATTAATGTAATCATGATGAACTGTACCAAAAGGGTTGGTGGGACCCCCACTATAGCCATATACTTCAGATTCATCAGCCATGAAGAATATGTATTTTTCTCAGGATCTTTTCTATACCGCTATTAAGTGTTCAACACAGATTGTGCTCTAATGCCAACAGAAAGTGAGGAAACACAAGAAGGATGAGGGTTGAATTATGTTGACTTTTTCAAGCTTTAAGGCGTTTTCAGCTTCATCTTCTGATGTTTCTTTATCATAGTCTGAATAATTGGTTCTGAGTTTGACTCGGAAAACTAATTTGACTTCTAAAGGACCTTATCAGATTCTGAACCAGAATCTAATTTGTAAGCATAAAATTGACAACAATGGAATATTTAAGTATAAAAGAAAATAAAATAAAATAAAAGCACGGGAACAAGCAGTTATCTTAGTTCCTCTCACAACCTGAGATTAGTCTAATCCTCTTGCTCTTCAAGGAATTTCCACTATAACTAAATCGGATTACAAATGATCAAGTCTATTAGCAAGAGACTTCCTTTGCTTACACAAACAAGTATAAGACTTCGTTGCATAGACCCACATGTCTAAGATTTCCTTGCTCAAGCACACAAGCTCAAGACTTCCTTGCTCTAACACACAAGCTAAAGACTTATTTGCTCAAACCACACGTCTGACACTTCCTTGCTTAAGCACACAAGCTTAAGACTTCAAATGCTCAAACATTAAAGCAAAAGGCTTCTAACTCTATAACAAATTGTTACGAGATTTTGGTAACAACTATATTTGATATACGGTCAAAGATGTATACAGAATATAAATTAAAAAGACTATAAGACTCTAGAACTTCTAAAATATTCAAGAGTTAAGATGTTCTAAGTATAGTAAATTTTACAGAGTAGCTTCTCTTTGAATGTCAATAAACAAAGTCAGTAGCAGAGTTATAGTAGCTATTCCTTTGAAAATTGGAAAACAACCGCTGATCTTCCAAATCTAACCTTGGTGACTCACAGGATCGATCAGATTGATCCTAGGACATGTGCTAAAAAGGTTTTCCTTGGAAAATCTATCTAAGTTTCACACTTTGACAATATTGGAGTGAAAGATTCTAAAAAGCATCTATTCAACTATAAGAGAAAAAGAAGATAAAGTTTTCAATGAGGAAAAGATAAAAGCTTTAGAAAATGGGTTGAGAATGAAGACGAAATAAAATTCATAGAGAGGGGGGAAGATTGCAAGAAAGATAAAGAAAGCTTCGTAAAGTTTAAACAAATAAACTAAACTTCATTGGAAAGTATAAGATGGTGTGTTTACATCACGTACATTCTCTTTGATACTCTCTTTCTCTACACTCGGATACTTGGAGTAATTTTAAGAGTAACTTGTACAACAGTAAATTACAACACACGGATTCTATGTCTAAGACTTCATATTTATAATAGTAAAAAATAACTACCAATAACTTCCTATATCATCATCTTTCGCCACTTGTCGTGATACATGGGTCTGTCGCCCACAGGGCGCCACATGTCCTCTTAGTCATCCAGCGAACAAAACCATTCCCTCCAATTCATTTAAATTTCAAATCCTTAGGATAACTACCAAGTAGCGTTACGGTCGAAGCCCTTCATGATTTTCCTTAAGTCTTGTAAGTGTTTCGACTCCTCTTCCTCAAAGGTCTTACACCTTTCGACCAGCTCTCACCTCCAGCAAGATTCTAATACTTTCTCTTAAATGTCTCAACTTGCAAGGGGTGTCGAATTTAGGAGCTAACAAATTTCCCCCAAAAAAATGTCTTTTCGACCCCTACGCAGAAAAGCACATTTTTTTGACAGCATCCAATTCGACGCCGTTTACTTCAACTTACACGTGTCCAACAATATACTTTGGCCAACTAATGTCTGGGAAAATGAAAGGGGAAAAAAGAGAAGAAAGAAGAAAACGGAAAATAACATGCAAGAAACTGCTCCATCACCTTGGAGCACGTTCTTGATGTCATGGTCATTATGGCGGGTTTCTCGGGAATCACCAAAATCGCAGACCATCATCATTCTTTTAGAGCCTAGGGGGTACAGGTTATAACTGCCACCCCCGTTTCTCCA